TTTTATTTTTTTCAAATGACCTCATATGGAGAAAGGATCAAAACTGAAGGTAGTACTCGAAGGGATATGAAACTTTTTAGTTGATTGCCTTTTTATTTGAAATCATTTAGTGACTACAAATTATGTTTTAAGTTTTTAGATTTTGAACTTTTTTTGAAAAAAAGCAAAGTACCTCAGATAGAGAAATAACTAAACCAAAGTTGTAGTACTCGAAGAAATATGAAACTTTATAGTTAATGACCTTTTATTTAAAATAATTTATGGCATAGAAACCTGTTTTACAACTAATAATTTTGAAATTCATATTTTTGAATCTTTTAGATGATCTCAGATAGAGAAATCATCTAAACCAAAGTTGTAGGTCTCTATGCCATAGCAAGGTATGGCAATGCCACTGATCCACAATGAGACTGTACCCTACCCGGACACCTCCTTGCTACAACCTTCCATTGTTGTTGTATAAGCTTCTAGCTAGCCTGATCATCTGTGTTGGTTGTGGCTGCAACTGTGGCAGCCGCAAGACACAGCTATAGTAAAATTCATGTCAGAAGCTAACACGCCCTTCATTGTTTTCATCGCTACACCACCCAATCACCTCATCACCCTGTCCTCATGCTAGTGTAGCTACCAGTGACATCCTTCTATCTAAGCCCACCACATTACATCTTCTAGCAAAACCTTATCCAAAACCCAAAACATTAACCTAGTCGTATATGAGCATGACCATAAATAACCAAGACACGCATATACAACATAAGATTACAATACAATCATAAAGATGCCTTGTTTACTTCAAATATTCAATAAAGATCACTCTCACTTGATGTCCTTGGTTTAGCACATCAAATTGGACAGTCTTCCTATCAATACTAGAGGTAGAGGACATAGGGCCTATTTGGTTGGTGTCTAACTTTGTACACCTAGCTTTAGGCAAATTATGACTGTATGAGCAAGTGTGGCGTACAAAACTAAAGTCACAATTATTAAAAACTTTGCCAAGAAATAAGTCTATAATGTGTATGACATGGTATACTAAGAAAGTACATGACACTACAAAGTTATGATAGTGAACAAACAACTTCCTAAAAAACCATGACATGACTAATATATGACGTGACAAATGTTAGGCACGAATCAAATGTATCCCTATTTTCCTTGCCGTAGTATTGATAGCACAAATCACAATCGCCTTTGCCTCCCTTATTTTGCTGCTTTTGCCCATTAGCCATTACATTGACCATTGAAGATGCACACGCACACTGCAACATTACTGCTATTGTTTCATCGGGTCCCGCGGGTCTCCATCGGCCCGCCGGAACCGGAAGTAGGCAGAAGCTTTCACGTCGTCGTTGCCGGTTTGCGGATAGACTTTCCCGTGCAAATGACAATTAGTTAGTGAGTTCCCATGTTCGCTTTCTCCGATCTCTGTACTCCCATCCCTCTCAAGTACTTAACATGTATAATGGAGACACTATTTTTTAGTTACTTGCGTTCAGGCTGAACCTTTAATTTCCAATGTTCGGACCCGTCAAATGGTTCTAATTCTATCTTGTGTGTATCGGTCCATGTTCAGGTCAAGTACACGATGACTTGCGTGAGTCCCATCACTTTCACCCCGTGCATGTGGTTTGGAGTGGCCCCTCGGGCTTGACTGATGCACCCAGTTTCAGTCCCATCACTTTCACCCTGACGAGTACGCTTGGAGCTGTCTCAGTCCAGTAGCTATGAGGCATAAGTGCAACACTGATTTATGCATGGATAATAATTTTCCAGTTAACATCCTTTAAACCATCAAACCTTACGTTATCTTAGCTTAGCATTACTGCACAACAATATTGTAACATCATTTTCTAACACAAAGCTATATATTTCTAGCTCCATAAAATTTCATCACAAAAGTACTATAGAGTTCCTACAGCAACGCGCGGGGTATCATCTAGTTTACATGAAAAACAAGGTCCACGATATATAGAATATATATTTCCATGCACACCCCTAATGGTTGGACGCACCTTCTCGCCCTTTCAACAAGCGAGAGGAGACTTCTTTTAAAAAATTCTTCTCAGCTGATATGTATTTTTGATAAATTCAAAATAAACATTTTTAAGGTGTCGATAGAATTTGGTCATTGGTGCCTCAAAGGCTCAATCAAAATCTGTCTCTAGAAATAGTTTATGAGATGACTCATCTTTAGAAATCAATTTTTACACACAGTTAACAAACCCAACAGCCTCGCCTTTCCAGCCATAGAGGAAACTACAGTAGCCTCTAGAAATGGATTTGTAGACACGGTTGGCAATTTGGGCCGCCTCTAAAAATATGTGCAACACGATAAATTTCATAAGTTCTCCAAATCAAGTGGGATGAAATAAATTTTATGTTAAAGTTGTAGTGCTTGAAGAGATTTACAACTTTGTAGTTGACGACTTTTATTTGAAATTATTTGAGACCTAGATTTTTTTAAGTTTTTACAATTTGAAATTTAATATTTTAAAATTTTCAAATGACCTCATATGGAGAAAGGATCAAAACTGAAGGTAGTACTCGAAGGAATATGAAACTTTTTAGTTGATTGCCTTTTTATTTGAAATCATTTAGTTACTACGAATTATGTTTTAAGTTTTTAGATTTTGAACTTTTTTTAAAAAAAAAGCAAAGTACCTTGGATAGAGAAATAACTAAACCAAAGTTGTAGTACTCGAAGAAATATGAAACTTTATAGTTAATGACTTTTTATTTAAAATCATTTATGGCATAAAAACCTATTTTACAACTAATAATTTTGAAATTCATATTTTTTAATCTTTTAGATGATCTCATATGGAGAAATGATCTAAACCAAAGTTGTAGGTCTCTATGCCATTGGAAGGTATGGCAATGCCATTGATCTACAATGAGACTGTACCCTACGTGGACACCTCCTTGCTACAACCTTCCATTGTTGTTGTATAAGCTTATAGCTAGCCTGATCATCTATGTTGGTTGTGGTTGCAACTGTGGCAGCCGCAAGACACAGCTATAGCAAAATTCATGTCAGAAGCGAGCACGCCCTTCATTGTTTTCATCGCTACACCACCCAATCACCTCATCACCCTGTCCTCATGCTAGTGTACCTATCAGTGACATCCTTCTATCTAAGCCCACCACATTACGGGACTGTTTGGTTTGTGCAGGAACTCCTAAAATTTCTATCACATCGAATGTTTGACATATGAATAGAGTATTAAATATAGACTAATTATAAAACTAATTGCATAACTTGCGACTAATTTATGAGACGAATCTTTTAAGCCTAATTAATCAATGATTTGACAACGTGGTGCTACAGTAAACATGCGCTAATAACAGATTAGTTAGGGTTAAAAAATTCGTCTCGGAAATTAGCCTCCATCTATGTAATTGGTTTTGTAATTAATCTATATTTAATGCTCTTTATTAGTATTTAAACATTTAATGTGACATGAATTTTAGGAGCGACTAAAGAACCAAACACCTCCTACATCTTCTAGCAAAACTTTATCCAAAACCCAAAACATTAACCTAGTCATATATGAGCATGACCATAAATAACCAAGACACACATATACAACATAAGATTACAGTACAATCATAAAGATGCCTTGTTTACTTCAAATATTCAATAAAGATCACTCTCGCTTGATGTCCTTAATTTAGCACATCAAATTGGACAGTCTTCCTATCAATGCTAGAGCTAGAGGACATAGGGCCTATTTGGTTGGTGTCTAACTTTGTACACCCAGCTTTAGGCAAATTATGACTGTATGAGCAAGTGTGGCGTACAAAACTGAAGTCATAATTATTAAAAACTTTGCCAAGAAATAAGTCTATAATGTGTATGCCATGGTATACGAAAGTATGTGACACTATATAGTTATGATAGTGAACAAACAACTATCCAAAAAACCATGACATGACTAATGTATGACGTGACAAACGTTAGACACTAATCAAACGTAACTCTATTTTTCTCGCCGTAGTATTGATAGCACAAATCACAATCACCTTCGCCTCCCTTATTTTGCTGTTTTTGCCCATTAGCCATTACATTGACAACTGAAGATGCACACGCACACCGCAACACTACTGCTATTGTTTCATCGGGTCCCGCGGGTCTGCATCGGCCCGCCGGAACCGGAAGTAGGCAGAAGCTTCCACGTCGTCGTTGCCGGTTTGCCGATAGACTTTCCCGTGCAAATGACAATTAGTTTGTGAGTTCCCATGTTCGCTTTCTCCGATCTCTGTACTCCCATCCCTCTCAAGTACTTAACATGTATAATGGAGACACTATTTTTTAGTTACTTGCGTTCAGGCTGAACCTTTAATTTCCAATGTTCGGACCCGTCAAATGGTTCTAATTCTATCTTGTGTGTATCGGTCCATGTTCAGGTCAAGTACACGATGACTTGCGTCATGCGTGTGTGTGGTTTGGAGTGGCCCCTCGGGCTTGACTGACGCACCCGCTTTCAGTCCCATCACTTTCACCCCGACGAGTGCGCTTGGAGCTGTCTCAGTCCAGTAGCTTCCTTGGGGCTTCAGCCAAGTTCGATTGATTCCTGGCTCCAACAGTCAAGTCTTCGTGAGTCCTGTCACGTCATTAGTTCGTTGCTCTTGCTTTCTCCTCTTCGGACGACGACTAACCTTTGATTTCAGCAAATTCGTTCATACTTCTGTTAGTTTTCTTTGGCAAGATCAGATACTCCCAGCGCTCCACGACTACGACCTTCAGGAGCATGGCGGCAGTGCCGTTCGTCCATCCGGAGGCATCAGGTAAGTCTTCATGCCGGTCCTCCCCCATGGAATTCTACAGTTCGTCAGACTTCAGACTACAAAGCCACTAGTTGAGTTAACTTACGACGTTATTATAAGTGCGTGCCATCATGCACAGCTTTCATGCATTGCCAGTTTGCCATCAGCACACCACCACTGGCTTGTCTGTCCCACCCCCAGGCCCCAGCTCTCTCGTTTCTCCGGTCTCCACCATGGCTCTCAGTCTCCTCCACCTTGCCTTGTTAATAATGGCCTCATCACTATTCACGCCCACGCCCGTCTCGGCATCCAACGCCACGGCCGCCGACCTCTCGGCCCTCCTCGCCTTCAAGGACAGTCTTTCCGACCCTGGCGGCGTTCTCCGCGGCAACTGGACGGCCAGCACGCCCTACTGCGGCTGGGTCGGCGTCTCCTGCGGCCACCGCCACAGGCTGCGCGTCACGGCTCTGGCACTCCCCGGCGTGCAGCTGGGCGGTGGCCTGGCTCCCGAGCTCGGCAACCTGTCTTTCCTCTCCATCCTTAACCTCAGCGACACCGCGCTCACGGGGCAAATTCCAACCAGTCTCGGGAAGCTGCCACGCCTCCTTTCCCTCGACCTCTCCAGCAATTATCTCTCGGGCATCGTCCCGGCCTCGCTCGGGAACCTCACCGTGCTCGAGATCCTCAATCTCGACTCCAACAACCTCACCGGTGAAATCCCACACGAGCTGTGCAATCTGCAGAGCGTTAGGTTTCTTATTCTCAGCAGGAATGACTTGAGCGGGCCGATGGCCCAGGGCTTGTTCAACGGAACGTCTCAGTCTCAGCTGAGCTTTTTCAGCCTTGCATACAACAGCCTGACGGGGAACATTCCTAGCGCCATCGGTATTCTGCCAAACCTTCAGGTCCTCGAGCTGTCGAGGAACCAGCTTTCAGGGCAGATACCGTCCTCACTGTTCAACATGTCCAACCTGCTAGGGCTGTACCTCTCCCAGAACAATCTCTCGGGACCGGTGCCAGACAACCAGAGCTTCAACCTCCCCATGTTGCGAGACGTGTATCTCAGCAAAAACGAGCTCGCCGGCACGGTGCCACCAGGCTTTGGGGCGTGCAAGTACCTGCAGGAGTTCGTTCTGTCATACAACCGCTTCACCGGTGGAATACCGCTGTGGTTGTCAACCTTGCCGGAGTTGACGACGATGTCCCTAGGTGGTAATGACCTTTCCGGCGAGATCCCCGCCGTCTTGAGCAACATTACCGGCCTCACCGTACTAGACTTCACCACGAGTAAGCTGCATGGGGAGATCCCACCGGAGCTGGGCCGGTTGGCGCAGCTGCAGTGGCTCAACCTCGAAATGAACAACTTGACAGGTACCATTCCGGCCTCCATCAAGAACATGTCTATGCTCTCCATCCTTGACATATCCTACAACTCCCTGACTGGACCTGTGCCACGAAAAATATTTGGGGAATCTCTTACCGAGCTCTACATCGATGAGAATAAGCTCAGTGGAGACGTCGGTTTCATGGCCGACTTGTCAGGTTGCAAGAGCCTAAAATACATCGTCATGAACAATAATTACTTCACCGGTAGCTTCCCCAGTTCTATGATGGCGAACCTCTCCTCCCTTGAGATCTTTCGAGCATTTGAGAACCAAATAACCGGACACATCCCTAATATCCCGGCATATCAGAGCAGCATCTCGTTCATTGATCTTCGTGACAACCGATTAAGTGGGGAAATTCCACAATCAATCACGGAAATGAAGAATCTTAGAGGTCTTGACTTGTCTACCAATAATTTGTCTGGGATTATCCCTGTACACATCGGCAAACTGACAAAGCTGTTTGGCTTGGGCCTGTCCAACAACAAACTCCACGGCCCTATACCAGATAGCATTGGAAACCTGAGCCAGCTACAACTATTAGGATTATCAAATAACCAGTTCACTTCAGCAATACCCCTGGGGCTATGGGGTCTTGAGAATATTGTAAAACTTGATCTGTCTCACAATGCCTTGAGCGGCTCTTTCTCGGAAGGTATTCAAAATCTGAAAGCAATAACTTTTATGGACCTTTCTTCCAACCAACTCCATGGCAAAATACCACTTTCACTGGGAGTGCTCAATACACTGACCTACCTAAATTTATCAAAGAACATGCTCCAAGATCAAGTACCAAATGCAATTGGCAACAAGCTAAGTAGCATGAAAACATTGGATCTTTCGTACAACTCCCTGTCTGGTACAATTCCAAAGTCCTTCGCCGATCTCAGCTATCTCACAAGCTTAAATCTCTCTTTCAATAAACTGTATGGACAAATCCCAGAGGGCGGTGTGTTCTCAAACATCACTCTACAATCATTGGAAAGGAACACTGCATTGTGTGGCCTGCCACGCCTTGGGTTCCCACGCTGCCCAAATGATGAGTCCAACCATCGCCATCGATCTGGTGCCATAAAATTTATACTTCCAAGTGTTGTAGCAGCCACTGTAATAGGAGCTTGCTTGTTCATCCTGATCAGAACTCATGTCAACAAGAGGTCAAAGAAGATGCCAGTCGCTAGCGAAGAGGTAAACAACTACATGACAGTCTCCTACTTTGAGCTTGCCCGTGCTACAAATAACTTCGACAGTGATAACCTGCTAGGATCTGGAAGCTTTGGCAAAGTATTCAGAGGCATACTGGATGACGGGCAAATTGTCGCGATAAAAGTCCTGAACATGGAACTAGAAAGAGCCACTATGAGCTTTGATGTTGAGTGCCGTGCACTTCGTATGGCTCGACACCGAAACTTGGTTAGGATACTCACCACCTGCTCCAATCTTGACTTCAAGGCACTAGTGCTCCCATACATGCCAAATGGGAGCCTAGATGAATGGCTTTTCCCTAGTAACCGTCGTGGGCTAGGATTGTCCCAGAGGATGAGCATCATGTTAGATGTGGCTCTGGCACTGGCTTACCTTCACCATGAGCACTCGGAGGCAGTCCTGCATTGTGACCTCAAGCCAAGCAATGTGTTGCTTGATCAAGATATGACGGCTTGCGTAGCCGACTTCGGCATTGCAAGGTTGCTGCTGGGCGATGATACTTCCATAGTTTCAAGGAACATGCATGGAACAATTGGTTATATGGCACCAGGTATGTAACTGTCTGCAACTTGATAGTAACTCATACTATCTCATCACTCGTGCTGCATCACTAACAATGTCTCTGTTTGCTTACTTTGCTGTGAACTGGCATAACAGAGTATGCTTCAACCGGTAAAGCGTCAAGGAAGAGCGACGTTTTCAGCTATGGGATAATGCTTCTCGAAGTCGTCACTGGGAAGAAGCCCACCGACACCATCTTCAGTGAAGAGCTAAGCCTGAGAGAGTGGATCAGCCAAGCTATTCCGTCCAGACTTGCTCATGTCGTGGACCATAACATCCTTCTTCTAGACGAGGAGGCAACAAGCAGTGGAGATGTCCAACACGCCGGCTGGTCATCTTGCGAAGGATCTCCCAGCGGGTGGAGCTGCCTACTGCAGATATTGGACTTGGGTTTACAGTGCTCGTGTGACTTGCCTGAGGAGAGGGTGTCAATGAAGGATGTGGCTGCCAAGCTCGCAAGGATCAAAGAGGGTTTACAATCCTCCAGATGATTTGGTCTGCAACTGAAGACAACAATGTATCTCTCAAAATTCCTGAACAGTTTGTTCCAAAAAAAAAAAAAAGAACAATACTGCGAAGTTAACATTGAAGTTCATACGACCAAATGTTCAGATCAGTCAGGCCCCATTGCGGCGATTGGAGTAGGCAACTGCAAAATGCTACTGAATCCTTTTGCAGTTTCAGATGGCCCGTATGCAGCTAAGTGGGGAATGGAGTGGATCTTGAGCTCTGCAGATTTGGTGTTCTTAGCTTTATGGGAGTGTTCGGTTCATGTGTTAATAATCTGGCTAGCCAATTAAGTCTGAGGAGCTAAAGTCTGGCTTCAACAATGCAAGATACACTTATTTCATTGTATATAATGGTTAGTAAGGGCACTCCCAACGGCAAACTCTATCATGTTTCTATGATCATTTATTACCCTTCTATTTATTGTATTTTGCTGATGTGGTGCTGTATTTATCGAAGAAAGAGAGGCAAAACTCAAGAAAACGAGTCAGACTCGACGTCTACTCATCGATCGAGACCGAGGAAATCAATCCCGAGCGCGTTGGGTGAAACTGGGTGGTTTCTACCCTTGGCATCTAGATCCTGTGCGGCCAGTCGTCACCCCGCGCGGCCACCGCCGAGCACCACCGCCCACAGAGCTTGCGGGGACCTCGCGTGCCACCTCCTGCGGCGCCCGCCGAGCGCCGCCGGCCGCAGAGCTCGCTGCGCGGCCGCCGCAGCGCCGCCCGCAGAGGTCGCGAGGAGCTCGCGCGCCACCAAGCTCCGCCGCCCGCAGAGATCGCGGGGACCTCGCACGGCCCAGCCTGCCGAACTCCCGTCGCCTCCCTGCGAGGAGCTCGCGGTCTCCGTCCCCTCGCCTCCCTGCGCAGAAGAGCTCGCGGTCTCCTTCCCTCGCCTCCTCCCGTGTCGGCGCCGCCGAGGCGTGGCACCGCGAAGCCTGCTTGGATGCGGCCTGCGTTTGGAGTTGGAGCTAGGCGAAGGCAGCGAACGAGCCAACAGCATGTACTTGGATGATTTAGTTTGATTCCAAATAAAAAATAGCCATGATCTGGACGTGTTTGGCGGACAGTTCGGCGACGAGCTAGCTGTGTTTGCAGTTGCAAGACGCATCGCACAGAGGATCCAAAGATGCTAGAGATGCACGAGGTGAATAATTGGCCAGATTTTTATCTAACTCTAGATAACAAAATATCATCGGGAGAGATAGATTAGTGACAGAGTCTTGGAGCTATAGAAACTACGATGATTTTTAGCATTGGGAGTGTCTTAAGGTAAGTTTACATTTTTGTCTACGCTAGCAAAACATGCTCGTAAGTTGCACCGAGACATATATGGTGTGTTTGGTTTTCTTGACCAATTTTTAACCTGGTTAGAATTTTGGTCTAAGCAGCCTTAGCTTGCTCCCACCAAGCTAATTCTTAGTTGTTTGATTGTCTGTGTTGTCTAAGCCTGGCTAGTCCTAGAATATGTTTGGTTGCCTGATTTGTTTTGATACTCTCTGCTATCAGCTGCGCCGACAAAATTTGCAACTTTTCTTCTTGCATCCTCATATGCATGAGTAGCCTTCGCGATGGTGCCAAAAGAACCGGCATGTCAGTTACCTTACAACATGGTATATGCTACCTAAGTGTATGGATGAAAACGGTCGGGAACGATCGGGAAAATGTCTTAACCATTCCCGCTCCTATATTTTTTGGCCGGGAACGGAAAGACCGAATATTTCGAACGGGAACGTGTCGATTACGATCGGGAAGCGGTAACACAAAACGGAAACATCGATATATGTAACCACTTGAAACAGTGAGCTCGATGCAACAATAGCAACCATGTATAATCCATATGTAAACAATAGCATGTCAGAGTCAATTCACAAACTCTTGATGGTTTGTCTGGTCAGTTATTCTGAATAGATCTTACAATCAGCAATGAACTACCGTATCACCATTTACCAAACATAAATACAGTACTACCATATATCAGGGTCTGGGTTAGAAACATTTTGACTTCAAAACAATCATTCTGCTACGTTTTGCCTCATTCCAGATATGAATTACTATGTCTATTTACTGATTCCACATAATCATCAGCTTCAACAAACTGACGAATTGCAAAATCAGAACGAGAAATAGAACTTGGTGAACATAAGTATGCAACGAGCTCTGATTTCTGAAGATCTTCTCGATGAAAATGAACATACCATAAGCACCGGGTTGATGTTGGGGAGGACGCCGCCGTGCGCGATGGTGACGCCGGCCAGCAGCTTCCCGAGCTCCTCGTCGTTGTGGATGGCCAGGAGCACGTGGCGCGGGATGATGCGCGTCTTCTTGTTGTCCCTAGCCACGTTCGGCCAGCTCCGGCACCTCGGCGGCGAGAGGTACTCCAAAGACGGCGGGCGAGGTAGATGAAGCGCCGGTGCCCACGCACGCGCATCTGCGGCCCTTCTTGAGGTACCGCCCGATCCGGCCGACGGGAACTGCAGAACTCCAACCTTGACGGACCGCGACATCGACTTCTTCCTAGGGCCCGCCTTGCGCTTACCGCCTTCGCTTTGTCGCCGGCTCTGCTGGCGTCCATGGTCGCTTTCATTCTTCTTGCGATTTGGGGGCCTGGCGCGAGAACTTGAGTTGTGGGAATTATGACGCCATCGTGGGGAATGAAGCGACGCCGACGCGAGTAGCGAGGCGTGAGGCGCCGCCGCCGATGTTAATTTCTGGTGCGACTCTGCGAGTCGTCAACGACCTTAAAGCAACGGAAATTCCGCGGAGTTTTCCCGACCAAATCGGATCCGCTAATTGATTGGAAATCACTCTAACCGATTTCGATCCCGGATTCGCCGAATTTTCCCGGATTTCTTCCCGAATCCGTTTTTTCCCAAGAAAATAATATCCGGTCGGGAATTCCGGTGTTCGGTGTCGGTCGGTACGGGAATTTCCGTTCCCGCTTTCATCCCTACCTAAGTGCATGAATATCACGATGAACATTCGAATTGTACGAGCGGTAGTACTCATCTAATGTTCTCGTCACACTATGGTCTGGTTTAGTTTCTAAAAATTTTCACCCCAAACCATCACATCAAATCTTGCGGCACATATATAGAGTATTAAATATAGATGAAAAAAAACTAATTGCACAATTTGGTTGAAAATCGCGATATGAATGTTTTAAGACTAATTAGTCCATAATTAGCCATAAAGTGTTACAGTAACTAACATGCGCTAATGATGGATTAATTAGACTTAATAAATTCGTCTCGCAGTTTTTAGGCGAGCTATGTAATTAGTTTTTTTATTAGTATCCAAAAACCCCTTCCAATATCCCCAAACATCCGATGTAACATCCAAAAATTTTCATTTCGCGAACTAAACACACCCTATAAGGTTTCTGTGATGTTGCAGCGTTGTCAAAGTAAACTAATTTGGCCTGGCCCCGTTCCGCTGACCTTAAAAGCGACACTAATCAGCTTATTTTTTTACTCATAACAATATTTTTCTTTTATAATATTTCAACCAAAACAGTGTTTTAGCTTGTTTTTTAAAATGTTAGGAGCTATTAGAAGCTACTAGTATCCAACAGACAGTAAGACTACTTTGTGCATCATGTCTCGTGGTATGGCACTGATTCTCGAAAAGGAAAAGAAAAACCTTATGATAGTAGTAGCAATTCACAGGCTACTAAATTGAACTGCTACTCAAACTCTGGTTGTATTTTCACCTGGAAAGTTACTGAGGTCTTGTTTTGATTGATAGTAGTCTTTAAACACATGCATGGAGTATTAAATTTGGTTTATAAATTAGATAATCAAATGCAAACGAAAGTACTACAATTTCTAACCCCAATCTGAACAAGCCTAACTTCTGAACAACCAGAAGTTCAGAACCGATGTGCAGCTGCTACACATACAGAGTTTGAGTAGCCAGTAACTCAAATGAAGGCCATATTTAGTTCCTAATTCTAACTTTGACACTAAGTCGCACTAAATTTACGGTACATGTATAGAACAATCAAATATTCAGAAATCGAAAATTAATTAGCTGCTACTTTTTACATACAGAGTTTGAGTAGCCAGTAACTCAAATGAAAGAATGCAGCTTGGCTTTTTCCGGCGGCGCCGAATCGGTGCTGAACTAAACATGGCCGAAGACCAACTGCTAGAACTGGTGAAGGATGGGGAAGTCGACGCGGGTGCGGTGCCCCAGCGACGAAACCGGCTCCGCCTCCCGCGACGGCGCCGCCACGGCCGCTGCGCACCAGCCTCACCTGGAGGAGTTGGGCTTGACGAAGCCACTACCGACACCGGAGGAACCGGGGAAGCAGCACCGGAACGCCGCCGCCGTCGCCGCTCGTGACGAGAAAAACGGCGCGGGTGCCGGGTCACCGGCAAGCGCGAGCACCATCCACCGGTGCCGGGTCACCGGCGCGCCGGACCTTGGAGAGACGCCGGTGTGGGCGAGCGCGGCGAGCGGAGCAGCGGGCCGTCGAGCAGCAGAGGAGCGGCGAGCGGAGAAGCCAACGACACTTTTGTTCTTTGGTCCAGTCTCCAGTCAAGGTTCAGTGGGCCTAGTCAAGGTTCAGTGGGACACTATACTCCTCGAGGTGTTCAGCCTGCCCACACTCTAAAATATTGTATGGGTTGTCACGAAGGATGACCATAAACCTCTCAATGACATCATCGCCGTACAAGTAAAGCTCAAGATATCTTGGCTTTACATCTTCTTTACCAAATGAGCTTATGTAGTGATAGATCTAGCCGTGTGCACAGAAGGTATATATGCCACTGTTTTTATGCTCGTAGGAGCGCTATCGAGGCGACAATATAGAGCGTGAAGGAGAAATAACCATTAAAAAATCTAATGTAGTTACGAAAGTGCTTTTAAGCCGTATTTTTCAACCAACGAATAATATTTTTCTCTCATAACAAATCAGTAACAGTATTTTCAGTCATAACTTATCAGCTAAACGAACAGGGCATTGGACGGCGGCTTGGCCTGTTCGCTTGCTCGTAAACGATCGTAAATTTTCAGCCGGAAATAGTGTTTTTCTCTCACATCAAACCAGCCAGCAGTAAATAATCCACGATACGATACGGCCTCCCGAACAGGCTAGCCAAGCCTAGCCACAGAGAAATGGAATCCCATCTCGTTTTTCCACGACCTCTAGAGTGGCTTAGCTGGGTTTGACTACGGCCTGTTTTCAGACAAACAAACAACTAAAAATTAGCTTCTTAGAGCCTGATTGAAGGTTAGCCATCAACTAAACAAACCAATAATTTATTGTCCAGTACTCGTGCCAATAGCAAACATGTCATGCATCATAACGTGACGTAATATTGCGTAGTCACCTAAACCTAACCTTTATCTAGTTTAATTGGGTCAACCTTATTTCAGTTAGATATCAAAGCCTATATAATAAATAAATATTTATATAGGCAGCTCCCAGCCCCAAAATTCCTTAAATAAAAGCAGTGGGCAGCGTCACGCGATCTCCATACGTCAATCTGCGAAGGGCAACCTAGGGTTCAAATTCCATCCAGTGCCTCAGCTTCTACGATAGATATTCACCCAAAAAGCACAGATGTAAGAAATCATTTTGCCACTGGCTTGAATATTCAGGTCCATTCTCTGTGCCAATTATGCTGGACGATCCTGCAGATGTCACACTTCTATATGATGAACGAGCTCCTGCAGATCCTTGCCCCTCGTCTGCTAATCTCTTCAAAATGTTCATTATAGCGGGAACAAACTTTGTGGACAGTGAAAGAATGGCTGGAAGCTGTGTAACATTACAAGCATACCGATATCAGTTTGCAAAACCATTAGGGGGCTTCAAAATAGAACAATAGAATTGTGATTTGAATACTCACAAAGCCATTTTGGAATTCAGTGGCAACGTCTAACTGTACCCAAATGGCCTTCCCAACAAGGAAGACAACAAATATAACAGCCAGGTACAGGGGATTCCTGCCATCCAAAAGTCAGAAGTCAGGCCAAAACTGTAGATACCTTATCAACATTCATGTATGGTTCTGCAAACAAAATAAAATACCTCAGCAATGTCATAAATTCATTGAATCCGAGGATAGTCAATGCATCGAGCGCCCAGGGAGGTGGTAGCCAGTTGTTGTTCCTCTTATTTGCTTCCTGATGAAAGCAACAAATCATGTTTAGCATCTACTCCATGGCTCTATTCCAAATTGTAAGTCGTTCTAACTTTTCTAGGTACGTAACTTTTGCTACACACCTAGATATATATTATGCTAAGATACATAGTAAAAGCTATGTATTTAGAAAAGTCAGAACAACTTACAATTTGGAATGAAGGAAGTATAACTTTTATATTTGACAAATGTTAATACTAAAGTTGAGATGCCAGTCAATACTTCTAGAGAATAATACGCAAAATAAATGAATTTGAGATGATAGATGCTACTTTTTTTTTGTCGCTCACAATCACAATGAGAACTTGTAGAAATGGATCTTGTGGGATGCCTGAGCAGCTATGGCCTGAGTGACTGTATATTCTGTTTCAGCTTTAAATTGCCTCCACAAAGATTTGCACTGGACAGGGCTAATTAAAGTTTTCTCCTCAGGAACCTGCACATTAATGACATCCTGTTAGCAGCACCCAGAACACCTACTTTGTACTAAAATATATTAACCACCTATTTGGTTGGCATTCTGCTTTTTGGAAGCAGAAGCACCAATGAACCAAACACAGCCTGAGTAAGAGCTAGAGTTTTACTTCAAGACTTCAGCAGAAGAGCATAATGTGGCATATTCCTTACCTTCTTCCACGAACTGGAGGCACGTGGATCAAATGATTGCCAACATCCTCATCCAACCGAATTGCAGCCAGTGTAGCAAGCAACTTCATGGACAGTAGTAAAATAGAGAATAATTTTCAACTACTACAATAATCCATTTATGTTTCAAATATATAGTACTGACATTTGACCTACAGCTGAACGTGCAGTTTTAGTAATTGCTTTTATGTCCTTTCCTGTCCACACCCTTGGCATTGAGTCAGCATCACAACTGAATAGAGTTGAGAACCTGCATGTTTTTCCTTTTACAATGTAGCTTTATACAGAAGATGTCTCATTGTATTGTAGATATGCAGTGGAGCTCACCTGTCCTTCATATGAATCAAGACCCTTCCAGCTTCTTTTGCTTTTGATTCCACAACGCTTACCTTCTTCAACGAACTGGACGCAAGTGGATCAAATGATTGAGTACTTCTATCAGTAGTCCCAGGTCTTGAAGTATCAACAAGAGCAAGGGAGAGAGTGTTTTCTATGGAGACTTTTCCCTGTGTGCCATTATAAAATATCGTAATCCCCTTGTGCCCTTGGAAAAATTCAGCGGTCTTCAGCGCCACTACTCCAACTTTTTTGTGTCCTCCATGCCACTTCCGTCGATTCAGGCTCTCTTGCACTTCAAGCTGCAGTGTGAAAAAATTTAAGTTCAAATATGTTATTAATTTTTTTAGCATCTTATGACTTCAAATGAAAAAACTCAAAACTAGAAAGTTGTAGATCTAAATATAATTTTCATATAAAATTTATTTTCATTTAATTCCGCAAAAAATATGATGATTTTTCTAAGATATATTAATCATATCAAATCATATTTTTTTTGCGGAATTAAATGAAAATAATTTTATATGAAAATTATAGATCTCGACAAGATCTACAACTTTCTAGTTTTGAGTTTTTTCATTTGAAGTCGTTAAGATGCTAAAAAATTTAATAACATATTTGAACTTAAGGGCATTTTCGTTTTTTCACACTGCATTTAGAGAATGTGGCATGGAGGACACAAAAAAGTTAGAAATAATGGCGAAGACCGTCAAATTTTTCATGACAAATTACGATCTTTTATATACACACATCAAAAGTCTCCTTTCTATGTTGTCACCATCCTCATCCAACCGAATCAGTGGCGGACCCAGGATTTCAAACCAGGGTAGTCCTAGTAAAAAAATTTCATATGCAACACGACAAAATTCAAAGAAAAAGTTCCGTAAAATGGCTATAAATTAACCAAATTGAGATAATACAAATGAAAAGGTTCAAAACTTAAGTCAAAAAATTTTAAGATCGACCAAAGTTTTAGAAAAAATATAACAATGTTTAGGACACCAAATAAATAAAATATGAAAATATATTTTATTGATTTGATGTCATAAACTGGATATTTGTTTTATATATTTGGTCAAACTTAAAAATACTTAATTTAGAACAATTCTAGATATTAATTTATTCACAGAGGGAGGGAGTGCCACTCTCTCTTAAAGTAAGTGTACGTCTAGAAATAAAACTTATTTAGTTTGACCAAATATGTGTAAATAAGTAGTAGTATTAACACGTATGGTACGTAAATATAAGTGCTTCCAGCTCTTCCTTCGTGGACGTGGCAGGATGGGTCGGCCCAACTAATTAACCATGTCCCACTCCTACGGCACGCTGGCCCAATTCCCCTCCCCCTCCCAAGCACCTTCTGCTTAGTACCACCTCCCCTGCTCAGGGATACAACTCCCACCTTAAAAAACTGAACGGTGCAGAGCTTTTTGAACTTGAAGGGCCGCTCGCTCGCGCAGACAGAGAGTCGAGAGATGGAGAGTTCGCAAACGGGAAGAGACGAGTGATGGGCCAAATTTTCATGGCCTGCGCAGAGTAATAAAAGAAATTTGGGCCCAATTCTAGGGTAGTCCTGGGCCTATCTGGACTACCCGCTGGGTCCGCCACTGAACCGAATTGCAGCCAGTGTGGCAAGCAACTTCATGGACTGTAGTAAAATAGAGAATAATTTTCAGCTACTACAATATAATCCATTTATATTTCAAATATATAGTACTGACATTTGACCTATAGCTGAACACGCAGTTTTAGGAATTGCTTTTATGTCCTCCTTTCCTGTCCACACCCTTGGCATTGAGTCAGCATCACAACTGAATTGAGTATTTGAGTTGAGAACCTGCAAGTTTTTCCTTATACAATGTAGCTTTATACAGAAGATGTGTCATTGTATTGTAGCTCTTTTAGAATACTTACTGCTTTGTTGAAAGCTGGTCTGTTCAAGTTATGGTATTGGACTCTGAATTTTAGTAAGTCACTAAGTCATACTTCTAGCCTACAGATACCATGAGGAAGTTTAATAGATAGCATTCCAGAAGCTGTACCTTCAGGCTTCAGATCCTTTATTTATCAAACGTTTCTAAGAAAGTCTGCGTACAATCACGGAGCTGAACAGCAAATACCTCCTTTGTGAGGGCTTTGTCAAAAGACTCCTTATCAGGTGAGGTTTGTACTTTGCTCGGCGGATCAGGAACTTCTCCTGCACGTCGAGGAAATTCATGAGGATATCCCAACCAAATCTGCAATATATAAGAAGCAAAAAAAAGCAGACGAAATTCGTTTCGAACTTGAATTTGAGGTCGAACATACCTTGGATTTGATTTGATTTTTCCAATCCAATTCCAATTAAGACTCGTTCGGACAAAATCGCGCCGGTCCGCAACAGTTCGTGTGCGCCGCTCCCGCCCCGCTCCGAGTCCGTCCCGACGTCCCTGCGCCTCGGCGGCCTTGGCGTCTGCGTAGCCGAAGCCCAGCGCGCTGAGGATAGAGTTGTGGTAGCGGCATAGTCGCCGCCCGCGGCGTTTACGTCGTCGAAGCGGCGGTCGAGGGTGATGAGACGGAGCAGCACAGAGTTGGCGAGCAGGCTGCGGCGAGCGCGCCTAGGCTCCCGCGAGTGGGCGCAGCCGCGACATCGACGCGCCTCGGCAGCCTTCCCTTCCATCCCGGCGTCCGGCGGCCAGTGGTGGCTGCGGCGACGCGGCCTTTTTTTTTCTTTTCTTTTTAATGGGAGAGCATCCACGCGAGTACGGGAGGGAGAGGACCTGGAAGGCCAGTCGTCATCCACGCGAGGGAGAGGGCCAGTGCACCGCGCGTTTGGGCCAAAATAACGCGAGTGGGACAGTTGTGCAGCAGAATGGGCCAGACAAAAAAACGGCCTAGACGAAAAAAAAGACTGAAATTTTACTTTTTTTATTAATAGGTATAGATATAAGGTAAGTTTACCTCGCCAATGAAATATTTTGTCGAACAGACGCTGAGCGGAGGATCCCAATTCCACTCGCGCGACCGTTCACTAAGAAGGAATCCAGCGAACCATCAGCTACTCCCACAACTTTCCTTATTTAGAAAAAAAATAATTTCCGTAACTTTTCATTTTTAGAAAGTTACTACACATAACTTTGACAGGTAATATTTTACGGGACATAACTTACTAGTCTTTCGGGCGCGCCCATGCGCGCGGTGCACTGGCCAAACGTTTTTTTTGGGAAAAAAAGATATAATCGAAGTTGGACTGTATGTTGATTTGAGAAAAACCCGAGGAGGTTTTCGCAAAAAATGGTGAGAGGGTTTGTGGAGCACGGGTCGATTTTCGGAAAAGGTAAGGTTTTTTTTGCAAAAAACCTGGAGGGCATCCGTTCTAGACTGCGGGTTAATTTCAAAAAAATATGAGGAGTTTCTTGCAAAATATCCTGAGAGGAACTTTGGATCGCGGGTTGATTTCCGAAAAGCAGAAGGGCTTTTTCGAAAAATGACCGCGGCTCGCCCGATCTGGGCCGTCCGCGCGGCCGATCGAACGGCCACGAAAAGCCGGCGACGTGGACGCGCTGGCTGCACGAGCTGGCCACACCGAATCATATCTTTAGATTTCTACAACTTATACTGACAACTTTGACAATGTAACATTTTATAGAACATAATTTATCACCATAATTTTTACATAACTTTTTTGTACAGTTTTTACGTAAATTTAATAGACAACTAACAATGAAAACTTTTGTTTTTTATTTTATGAAAATAGTTTTTAACATAAATTTTCTGGCACAGTTTTATATAACAATTTTACGAATGACACAACTTATACATAAGTTATATATCTAAGTTATACAAGCAAGTTATACACATAACTTTTCTTTTTTCAAAAGTTACTAAGTTATACAGATAACATTTATGCATAACTTATTACCACAACTTATATATCATAACTTTTATAATGTAACGTTTTGTAAAGCAGAACTTATTAGCACAAGTTTTTGTTAGAACTTGTTGAGCAGCGTTAACAAGATGTATAGAATAACTTACGTACATAAATTATAGAATAACTCATGAATATAAGTTGTGTTCCATAATTTTTGTACATGAGTTGTGTTTTCATAAATTTTGCGTTTTCAAGTTTTGGCATAAGTTATAAATTAATTCATTCTTTTGTATTTAATAATTTTTATGTTTCCAAGTTTTTGGCATAAGTTATAAGTTAATTCATTCCTTTGTATTTAATAACTTCTATACATAAGTTGTGTTTCATAACTTTTATGTATAAGTTATATATTATAAGTTAATACATATAAATTGCTACTAGAAAAAATTTAAAATATATGTAAGTGGGGTCTAGTTTTGTTCGCCTCGTCACGTAGAACACACCGATGCAGATGAAATTGAAAATGTATACATCGTTTAGAAGATATAGCAATTTCAAATAAATGTTTCGCTTTTTTCTACCTTACGTCATATGACCTCACGGCAGCCAAAAGAGAATCAACGTTCTGCACGTGTGAAAAGATAATATGCTGGCGGCTCCATCCAAAAAGGGAAACAACGAAAAATATTTTTTCTAGAAAAAGAAAACTATGGCTTGTCGGAAATTGCTCGTCCGATTCCAATCTGGTGATCGTTCGCCGTTTAGTGGTGTCGGCGGAGGATGCCTGTCATCGCCACAGAAGACACTCAAGCTTCTCCACCTCTGCCCGCCTCTTCCTTTCTCACTCCTCTCCACCTTTTTGTGCGCCTCCCGCCACCCACACGGTGTCGACCCACGCGGACTTTGTTGCTGCCAGCCGCGGCAGATGCACGACCATGGCACATCTAGGGACGTCATCGACCGCCATGGCAGCTAGCTCCATGACATTTCGTGCACCCGACGGCTTCAGCGCTCTCCTAGAGCTCCTGACGGGGCGACTCCCGACGAGCGAGCTTTGGTCCTATGTGCAACCGAGGGTGGACAACTCCACCATCCTTGTGGAATCGAGTGCAACGGTGGGTCAAAATCCAGTGCGACGATAGCCTTCCGCGCAGCGGAGGGTGGAGGCCAAGCCAACAACGTGCTATCGGCGTGATGTCGGAGCACCAGTGGGCATTGAGGGGATATAGAGCTACTTCCTAAATCCTAACCAAACCTGGCCAATTGGGAATGCCCACCCCTCACGTTTCCACTAAGCCTAGTCTGGGCGTGGTTAGTGCCTTCATGGAGCCTGGCTACAAGCTTTTACAGGCACCAAATAATAATTTGTTTGGATCCTCTTCTCTAAACTTTAGAGCTCTAAAAACTTTAGAGCACTTTATGTCACTTTTGAGTTCTAAAGCTCTAATGTAAGGTGGGGTAAAGTTTAGAGCTAACTTTAGACCAATTGTTTAGAGCTTTAGCTCTAAAGTTTAGAGAAGGAAATCCAAACAGGCGCTAAGTCAAAACTTGTACTATTAGAGCGGCAAGCCACGTAACCAAACATGCCCCTTGATGAGCTTTTTGGAACCCTGCCATTATGTGAGGTGAGCTTCGCTTGTTCGTCATCCCACAATGGGTGTTCGTTGGGTAGCCATTATGAAACGTGCGCAGTCCGCTAAAATGCCATTTGGAGAGTTCGGGATTCGATTAATCCCTGAAAAAAGAAAGACGACACTGCATTCCTGTTTTGCCCCTTACTCTTTTCTTTTCCCCTGCTCGCTCTCACGCGGACGTAGCATAGGCTCGAGCGACAGAACGGATCGACACGGTGCCTCTAGAGTGGGCACTCCTCCTTCCTCATGGTGTCCCTATGCCATCAATGTCATAGATGGCCGCCCCATGCCGCCTCTGCCCCAAGCGATGCTGGCGCCATCCCCCATGCCAGCACCACACCTATGCCGCCCCCAAGCCAGCCCCCGACGACAGTGACACCCGCACCCCACATCGGCGCCCACGTCAGAGATGCCCCCCATGCCGGCGTCGTTCCCATGCCACCGACTGTCATGCATGGATTACAACAACACTTCATTAGGGCCAAGCCAAAGGATTTCAACAAATGAACTACCTTTTGTTCATTACAGTGTAGGGCACAGGCGTGAGACAGCGTCGCTCAGGGCACCCGCAATGATATAAGCTAATTAGTAACTCTAAGTCAATTTCTTCAATAATGCTAACTGACGAGATCCTAACATACAGATATGTTAAGCCTCGGGTCCAATGGTTCCCGATCAAAAAAGACCCCCGATCGACCCCTTTAGGATTGCCCAAGGGCTCTAGGGCTATGCCTATCGAGCACGCTTGCGCGCACCCTCTGGCAAAGAGACCCGCCCGAGCCTGACTCGACTGCAGCTTTCGCCTAGGGCTCAGGGCTTCCTCGAGCCTCGGGTTCCCAATCTACGGCACCTCTGAGCCCAGCCCTTGACTCCTGCCCGGCTAACGATGCCAGCCAAGGCCTAGGCACAAGAAGATAAGCCATAGGCTACCGATGCCCGGGGGATCCCTGGCGCCGCTCCCTTGGCGTGCCCCTGCCAACTACTCCTCCGATAGGGTCACGTCCGGGGCATGACACAAGAAGACAAAGCTTCCCACGGCCTCTACAGGCTCGAGGGGCTTGCAGGCCCGCACATCAGCCCCTAGAGCCGACCTCCTTCGCTTCTAAGAAGATTCCAGAAGGTCTCACCCGAGGGAGGCCGGTCCAAGCCGACACCCTTTTGACACGCAGAGTGTCAGAACAGAGCAGCCAGACGACGCCTAGGCTTCTTCTGTCCAAGACACCTCGATGGTCCATGGCGCACCGCTACAAGCCCCTTCTAGACTCTGACGCACATACAACATAGACTAGAACCCCCAAACCACCTCGTACCCGACCTTTCTCATTATATAAGGGATAAGGTCGGACCTAAATGGGAGAGGATCCCGATTTGATCACCAGACACTCCATTCATTCCATCTACCTCTGCTCTACAGCGAGAGGAAGGCAACCTAGAGAGGAGCACCGGGAGCCCCTCCTCCATCGCATCCCGCCGTCTCCTTGCCCTCCGACACAGGGGAGACTCCACCGATGGTGAGGCAACCTTAGGATTACCAAATCTTCTTCCTTTATACTCTGTTGTAACCCCCTAGATTTTAGGTGCTCTTGAGTATAAGGATCATCAACTGTAGGACGTAGGGACCAAATTGGCCCAAACCAGGATAAACCATTGAGTCTTCTCTACATGATTCTTGTATTCTTGAGTCCACCTAAGCCACCGGAGACCCATACTCTGACACCGGCTCGAACAACATGCTTGCCGTGGTTTTGACCCCACGACAGTTGGCACGCCAGTTAGAGGGCAGTGTCAAGTGCGATTCTGGCACTACGGTCCCCGGCCACCCGCCTCATCGCCGGAGCAAGCAATGCCACCCCAGACGGCGGTGTCTGCTTCCCTAGCGAGTTCTCTGTTGTGACTGGTGCCTACGCCCGAGCTAGGTCATCCGGTTTGGGAGCTTGGTCTACATCTCCGATTGCCACGGCGAGCTTCGCCTGCTTCACGGGGCTACGCCGGCGGGCAGCGAGCCCTCGGTGTCGCCTCCCCCGATAAGGCCCTTGAGAGAGGATCTCAAGGTCCTGGCCCAATAGATCTGGCATAGCTTGGGCCTGGATCTCACTATGTCGATTGCCACCGGATGTTCTACATACTGGCTAATGTTCATCATCAGGTCACTATGGGTGAGGCGCTCCTACC